GCTGCTTTGAGGGGCTCTTCCTCCTCTTTGCTATCTCTGGCAGGGAGAGATGCTCCCGCTGCCACCCTGGATCAGTGCTAGAGCTGTAGAGCACTCCTGACAGCATCTCCTGTGTGAAAATGGGAACAGCTCTCATCTGGATAATGGGACAGCTGGAATTTCACTGTTCCTTGCCAGCCTGTGCCTCTCTGCCACGTGCTGGCAGTGCTGATGGAGGGAGCGGGTGTGTTACAGGAGGCACAGCGATTCACAGACCTGCTGGGAGACCATGGGAAGCCAGTGTGGCCGCTGTGGGAGCTGATGAAGTGGCTCGTGGGGATGTCTTCTCACACACTCCCAGCTATTGGTAAGGCCAGGAGGAGCCCTGGGAAGTGCAGAGGCAGTGGTGGGATTGGACAAGTTGTTAAATTTGAGTAGTGTCCAGCAAAGGGACTTGGGGATTATGCTGAGCACCTTCAGCCTGGTGTTGTAGTGACACTTGATGTCCTTGAGTCACACACAAGCTTGGGAGGGGGGTTGGCTGGATCTTTGATAAATGGGAGTGGGTATCCTGGGAGAGGTGAGGCTGATGGAGTACAGTGGAGTTCGCTCCTGCTGTGAGCCCTGGCAGAGCTGCTGGGGGTTCAGAGGGAGCCAGTCGGGGTCTACACAGATCCTGTTTCCTAGCAGCAGGTACCAGAGAATGCTAATTAGTGCAGTTGTGTTTCTAATGAGTTCTGAGGTTGCTCTGCCAGCTCTGCTCAATCCCAGCAGCTGGAAAAACGGGAAGCAGGGGGCAGGCTGAAAGCCTTTCCCTTAAGCGGATCTGGGGGACTGCTGCCTGCAGAGCCATGCCAGGGGCAATCTGCTGTGGGTACTGTGGGTAGGGGGACTTGGAGGGCTGTGCTAGGAGTGAGGGATGCTGCATGTGGCCAGGCAATGCATTTTCTGCCCCATGTAGCCCACAGTCCTCTCACTTTCTGTCCCCATTTGTGCCCTTTCCCTGCAGCCCTGGGGCTGACGGAGAGGCTGGTGAATCTCAACCTTGGTGGAAATGCCAAGCTGGTGAGCATGGGGAAGAGCCTGCAGGAGGAGATGGAGGCGCTGCTGGGGACAGATGGGGTGCTCCTCTACCCCTCACACCCCACCATTGCCCCCAGGCACCATTCCCCCATCTGCATGCCCTTCAATTTTGCCTACACAGGTGAGCAGCTCTGGCTCCTGCGGGGTGCAGGTAGGGCCATAGGGATGCCATTGCCCACAGCAGCAGCATGGGCTGGCAGCCAGGGGGTTGTACCCAGAGTGTTTCCATTGCTGTGGTTTAGTAGGAACCTGAGAGCTTCCATCTCTTGGACTACAGTCTGGGGCTCACTGTGTGGCTTCTCTGTGGCCTGAGCTCCACTGTGTCAGTGCTGCCTGGCATTGGAGGGAGGGTCTCTGGGGCAGGAGTGTCCCAAACCAGATCTTGGCAAGCCACAGTGTGTGTCAGTCCCTCGTGGGTACAGTTTGCATATGTAATATGGGTGCTGGGAACCTCTGGCCAGTGATGTCCCTTGTCACCATGTCTCTATGCCACTATGTCAGTCACCAGCTCCTGGGAGCCTGGTGCCATGTGTGGCAGCGGCCACCCGC